CTCTTTCCCCAGATTCCTTAAATGCAAAGATGTAGAAAGGTGCAAGTATTTTACAGTACAAGACTTCTACAAAATGTTAGAAGTTTATGAAAAGGCAAAAAAAAGTACCTGAACATCTTGTGATCGCTCGTATGCCTGATATGCCACTTTCTCCTCTATGCTGGCTAGCTCTTGCTTCAAGTTTGCTGTCTCATGTTGATGAAGATCAGTGAGGTCATTTAACTGGTCTTCCAATCTTTCATATCTTATCAGGAAAAAAGGTCTAAATTTAGTGCATTCTGCTGAAGTCATGCTAAATCATGAGAACATTTACACATTTTAAAAGGTAACTTCTCAGTGTACTATGGATTCATCTGACTGGCATTACAGAGCATGTAGAGAAATCAGTGAAAACTTTGGAAATCCTCCATAAGCATTTATTTTTTCAAGTGTTCCTTGTTGGCAGTGGGTGTTAAAAAGCAAATATTTGTACATCATTGGTAAATTATATGAACTATAAACAGTGGCTAAGGGTATCCAACTCACATTTTTCCATTTCTCACTTTTCATTCAGAGAAGAAGATACGGTTTCGTAAGTAAGCTTGAGCCAGTTAACAGCTCTGCCAGTAGTGAAAGGAAAAATATGTTCCCTGGATCCCCTCTCAAACACAACTGCAGGTCCTGCCATTTATGTCAGTCTGTTCTGGCACGTCTCTGCATTGTAAACCATCTCAATTAAACCATCAGAAAACTGCAATTTTTTTTTGGTGAGTTTATAACTTGGTTTAACAGACAAACAGGCAAACACTGCAGTTGGCACAAAAATGACGGAGGCAACATTGTCTAGCTGAGGAAATGGTGGCAAGAGGCTTGAGATCTTAATGGCAGTGAGCTGTCAGAAAAGGCCGCTCTGCCTTCTCTTGAAACCAAGTCCTGAGTGCACTAGGCCATTTGCTCTGTTCCTTCCTCCCCCATGTTACCCCCTGACATCCAGCCTTCCCTGGTATTTCAAGAACTGTAAATAAGGGAAACAATAATGCATTTCATACTGAGCTTTTGCCCATTAGCGCAGTAAAGACTTAAAGAATCAACACTTATTTTAACAAGCGATATGACAAGTGGGATCTGGGTACAGCAGGTGCAAGCCCTTTGTAAAACACATCTCATTTCCCACAGTGGATGATAAAGGAACTAATTGACAAGTAACAAAGGCAAGAGGAACTTGTGCTACAGCACTTAAAATTACATTTCACAACTATGTGTTACACCAGGGTACAAAGTGACATTGCATCCACAAGATAGGAAAGTGTCTGAGAAGTATTTGGACAAGGTACTCAGGACTGAAGGGTAAATTTTTCAGCTCTAGGTCAGCTCTGCTACACCGTAGACTGATTAGCATTTTCAAGTCACAATAGATCAGAATCCTTCCACCAGTTACAAAACAATTAGCATCTTCTGTACACAGTATTCACATAATACAATATGCCAGTAAGACATTGGGTAAGAGAATTTTCTGGCAGGCCTTTGACAAAAGGCAAAGAACTACCACATCATTTGATAGGAAATATTAATGTTCTACATGTATTTTCAGTTATTGGATGGAGTGGAACATTTTGGTACCAGATATTGATTTGAATTTTTTTTTTCCTCTTGCTTCTGAAATGTCATACACACAAGGACACACACACATTTACACTTTCCAAATAGCTTCTATACGCATTCAAAAGTAATTTCAAGAGAACAGTTAAGAAAAAAATACCTATATCTTTCCTCTTGTAACATCTGAGAAATAAAGCCATAGTCTCTTTTAAACTGTGTTTTTAAATTCTCAATATCATCAGCTAATTGGGACTGTGTCTCCTTGATTTCCCTTAGTTCCTCCAAAATCATGGAAAGCTTTCCTTGGCTGTCCAGGGTGCTTGCCACAGCAGGACCAAAGGAAGTATTCCCATTACTATCTGCTGAGCCAGAGGTCCCACTTGAGCATTCATCATCACTAACATATTTTGGTTTGGCAACAATGGTGGCACTGCCCCCATATGGTCTAGAACTTGTCTCTGGCCGAAATTCATCCAAGGTATTTTTGAGGTGAGCAATGTTGTCTGCACTACCAAATTTGTTTCGGATGAGGTTTGCAAACTCTCTAGACTTGCTGAAAACAAAGACAGGTGGTGTCAAGGATACACCTGGCACACCCGACTTGCTGCTCTCTGTTCCATGCCCAGAGGTACGAGGCTTTCCATGCTGAATATCTTTCAAGTTATCTTTGGAAGTATCCTTAGCACTTTTGGAAGATCCATTTTGTTCAATATCCTTGAGCTTCTTGTGATACTGCTCCAATTTCTTCTGCAGTTGGGCAATGGAGTGGGCAGATTTCTGGTTCTTTTTCTCAAAGACTTGTTTAATGCGCGCAGCCTGTTGCTTGTCTGCACTGTTTACCAGTTTCAAATACTCAGCCACGTTTCCATCTCGAGCTGTTTGTTCAACTTTGATTTGTTCTGTAACCTTGAGGATTTTCTGTTTCAAGCTATCTGCACTGAGTTTGACTTTGTGAAACTCCAGGACCCCATCTGGTACATCAAAGTTCAGGTTGGTGTCAGAGCCTCCACGGCGAATGTTAAGCGGTAAACTCAGGGTATTCATGTCATGTCTTTCCACCTGAAGGGACAGAAAAGAAATAAATGGAATTTGAATTTTACTTGCTAAAATCCAACTTTGTTTCCTTTTCCACATGTTATTATAACAAGCACACAATATAAAGTAGCTTATAGTAGCAAAATAGAAATTTCCTCATATGCAGTCAAAGACATGGGAGAGGCATGAGACAAGAATAACCTAACCAGAATAGGTTCATCCCTATTAGCATCTCATGGTAGCCTCTGTGACAAAGGTGGTACATTATCATTAAAGCTGCCACAACATCTATAGAGACTGCTTAACAAACACTCTAGCCATAATGGGTTTTCAGAGTTTAAGACAAAAGGTAACCAATACAATTGCTTAGGCAAGACCACTGCAGAGGCAAGGCAGAAGCTGTATTAAAGTATCTTTTAAAGATGCATTTGTGAAATGCTTTAACTGCTGTTTTCTTCAAAATGCCTGACATCCTACATTAAAAGTCTGCTTTGCAGCTACAGTATTTCTGTATTGTATTGTCATACAATCACAGAATCATTAAGGTTGGAAAAGGCCTCAAGGATCATCAAGTCCAACCGTCAGCCCAACATCACCAAAACCCACTAAACCATGTGCCTAAGCACCACATCGACACGTGTCTTGAACACTTCCAGGGATGGTGACTCAACCACCTCCCGGGCCGCCTGTTCCAATGCCTGATCACTCTTTCAGTGAAGAAATTCTTTCTAATATCCAGCCTAAACCTTCCCTGGTGCAAGTTGAGGCCATTTCCTCTTGTCCTATTACTTGTTACTTTAGAGAAGAGGCCAGCACCCACCTCACTACACCCTCCTTTCAGGTAGTTGTAGAGAGTGATAAGGTCTCCTCTCAGCCTCCTCTTCTCTAGACTAAACAACCCCAGCTCCCTCAGCCGCTTCTCATAAAACCTGTGCTCCAGACCCTTCACCAGCTTCGTTGCCCTTCTCTGGACCTGCTCCAGCACCTCAATGTCCTTCTTGTGGTGAGGGCCCAAAACTGAACACAGTATTCAAGGTGCGGCCTTGTCTATAATACTGAAGATCTTGCAGCAAGACTTATGTGTACATATGCATCCAGTGATCACCATTCAATCTTTTCCTTGATTAAAAACATAAAACATCATTAAGCATTGCTATAAGACTTGTTTTCCCATCCTTGTACAGTTTTGGTGGACCTCCTGGAAATACTCTCTGGTATTCCTGTATTCCCCTTAAACTACAGGCTCAGGAACCAGACATGGTATCCTACTGTTAGTGGCACACATCATACACAACTTGATCAGGAGAACTATTCTCACCCTGTTGCTATAACGATGGGTTACAAATACAGAAGGGGTAATACAGCCTTAAATTTGTATTTGAATCTGACCATTTCAGAAACAAGATCATCTCTCCTCCTACTGTATATTCTTATCCTTATATTACTGATATTACTGAGGATTACAGTACTTTTTTTTTTTTCTTTTTCTTTTGCTACTGCACTCCTCTGGATGCAAACCAGGTAACATAAAAAGTTCACATTCACCAAACTCTAAGAAAAACGGACATTTGAAAAATGCCAGTTGAAGAGTTCTGGAGTTGACAATTTCTTCAGGAGAATACTGGTTAAGAGTGACCTTTAAGACTTGGACTCTATTCCAAAGATTAAACCAGTGCTGTGGCCTAATAGGTCTGCACTTTACCAGTTTGTTAAAAATAATTAATACTTAACCACATGTTTAATTATTTAAAAAGAGGTGCAAGCAATTTTTATAAATATATTTAAAAAATCATAGATGGCATTCTATATTCAGGGTGATAACCTTATTTAAAGAGTGACAAACATCACAAGTGTCAAAACTAACTTCCATTTTAAGTAATGTTTTTTTTAGTTGAACAAGTGTTATAAATATAGCTATTAGGAAAAAAATAGCTTTTAAAGATCACTTTTTAAAGTGATAACATACATAATACTGTTGTGTTAGCTAAATATGCATTTAATATATGATAAAGTATTTTTGATTAGGATACTTCAAGCTTTCCAAGATCCATACAGCAAAGAAAAGCAATCAAGGCAAATACCTGAAAAGCTTAGAGAGTACATCTGTATCCCATATTACAAATACTTCTTTACATGGATTTACTGGGTCTGGACAAATTTGGTAAAGGGAAAAAGCTCACTATAAAACAATAGTTTCCTGAAACAACCTAAGACATTTTTGAACAAGCTTTGGCACAAAATTATACTGTGATAAATCACCGAGTTGCATATACACAAAAGACAGATCCATCACTGACATCACTGAGGACAAGCTGTACATACTTCCAAGAATGGGTGGGTCTATCTCCAACCTTTACACAGCATGAAGTGTTTACTTCCTTAGTACAAAATAGTCTAAAAATATATTTTAATAATTGGACACAAGCCCAAACCAGATCCCTTCTCCCTTACGTCCTCTCCTTCACTGGATTCTCTAGCGGTCAGCAAGGTCTATCATCACCATGCATTCCCTGCCTTCCTGGAACTTCAAGGTCACAACATCAATAGAGATAAATAGAACAATAGCATCAAGGGAATACATCTGCTGAAAGCTGCATTGCTTTTGGAGTTAAGGAAATCAAGTAGCATGTGGCAAATCTACTTCTGAAATGAGTAAACCTAATTGTAGGGTTGGTTTAAATTCAGCGAAGTTTAGAAAGTAACTGTGTCCAAATTCCCAAAACATTACTAGGAGTAGTTTTTTAGCTTACTGGATTGAGAGCTCAGCAAGCGTACAGAAGAGTCATATCCAAGACATTCTCCTATCTGATTGTCTTTGGCCAAATGCCAGTTGTTCTGTTGCCATCATGATGCAAGGTTGGGTCGAGCAACAGAGGCTCTTGAAATCTTCTCTTGATGTAATACACCTTTTTGTTGGTGGGGTGGGTTTTTTTGGTTTTGTGTTTTGTTTGGGTTTTTTGTTGTTTTTGTGTGGGATTGCAGGGGAGAGGGTTTGTTCTTTGGGTTTGTTATTTTTGTTTTGTTTTAGTTGTTGTTTTGGTTTTTAATCAGAAGCAAGTGGACATTGGACAACCCCCATATCTCTAGAAAAGTGGCCTATCACCTGTCTTCTGTCTTGATGGGGTAGAACAATTTGTCAAAGATCCATTTGTGACTGCTTTAGAGCTCAACCCTAATGTTACCCGAAGACACCAGAGGTCCAACTTCAAATCCTACCTCAAGTCCTGTCCCAAAGCCTCCTTGCTGAAACAGTCTTGAGATGATAAGAATTACCCTCTGTGTACCTTCCTGAAGCACTGTGAACATAGCTTGCACTTCCTGCCCAGTTCTTTATCCCAAGCAGAAGACTGTCAACAGGAGTCTGGGATGCTTTCTCATCCCCACAGGGACTGGCACACTCTCCTGTGGTGTGGGCTGAAATTCTTCCACAAGCAGGAGACTGAATGTACATCCCCCTCAAGCAACACAAGTGCTCTTTCAGCTATGCTAAGGGAAGAGATGATGAATGCCATCTACGCCATTTTTTTTCAGTGACTTTCAAGTCACTAGTGCCTGACAATGGCACGACACTAGTGCCTGACAATGGCACGAAGCTGTTAATAATAAAGAAGGTGTTGAGAGATTGTTTTGGATTTTCCTTGTGGCTGCCAAAAGAAAACAAATACATCTATACACACACAGTAGTGGTCCCAGTAGCCAAAACAACCTATCTGCAACCAGACATATTTTTGGAAGTGAAAAGCACTTAAAGAAAAAAGAATGGAAACATCATACATCTCTCTTATCATTATATTACCTATTAATTGAGAGCTGGGGATTAGCAATAAATTAAGAGGAAGCAGTCCTGAGACAACTTGGTAACACAAGGAAGGCAATGCACCAGCCTGGAGTCTGAGGAAATACCAGAGACGTGTCTAGGATCTGTCTTCACAGAAAAACAGGGAAAACCCAATTTGCACATGGTTACTGGGATAGCCATAGCTGATATTAGCTTGAAAGAAGAAATCTGGAGCTTGGAGAGACCACTACATTTTATGGAGCCATTCACATATGCACTTTGCTACAACCCTGTTGAGAACCAATTGTAATGTTTGTGCTGCTCAAAGACTAGCTTTTAAGAACAATTTAGGAGTGCAGCAATTCAGGCTCCTTGCCTGCATCAGAGCCAGACACCACAGGTGACTATATAAGTACCTCTCAGAGGTAAAACAACTTCATTCTGCCCCAACCCCTCTTTTTCCAAGGAGCCAAGCAGATCCCTGGCTGCATGGCCAGGCACTCCATCCCAAGCCAAAGTCCAGGGCTTCAAAAGGGATAGCAGAATGACTGCTTGGTGCAATGAACACAAGTGCACTGCTAGGAACCCTTCACTACGCATGAATTGGCAGGTATACTTTCCGTCTGAAATGGTAAGTGGAGCACTGGGTAAAAGGCAACCTGCCCTTCATAAAGAAGCATTCAGAGCATGTTAGTGCTTTTAAAACCCAATCACAGAAGCAAGGATAGGGATTTTATTGGTATGATAAAGATCCACATGTTTTCCTCCATACCATCTGTAAAAGCAACCCAAAACTGAGATTTGCAGGCCATGCTAACGATGAGCTCAGAGCACAAAAGGTCCCACGTGCCCAAACACCACAGGTAAGACTGTTGGAAAGGGGTTCCATATGGACAGGAACTGCTGAACGGGTGAGAACATCATGTTTAACAGCCTATGTAGATTGCCTGTTGTGTCCTCTGTTTGCACAGTGCAAAGCAGACAGAAGTTCATTTCTTCCCCAAAGATCCTGTGTGGGATCCATCTGGGAGAAAGAAATCCATAGTGAATAGAACATAGAGAGCATGCAGCCCACCCTAGTGCAGCCCACATCTCATGGCTGCTCAGATGAATCACTTCCTCTGTTCCACTGACTATGTCAACAGCTGACAAGTGAGAGCTCAGCCACCTATGTTTAGGTGTCAAACTGAATTCTACTGTTTATTCCACAGATTTCTTTTATACTCTTTCAAGAAGTGTC